TTCCTACACGATGTGCCAGTAACTCTCAACTGCCTCCTATGCAAAGATGCACTATCCGGGAGGGGTCCCCTAATCTTACCATTCTACCTATCCTCCCTTATAGAATATCATCAAACGAATGAGAAGACTGGAACCACAGTCGTTTTAAAAAAGAACACTGTTCAGAAACAGTCGTTGTGTTCTTATTTTCGTAGTTGGAAAAATGCCACCGATGTTAGTGAATGAGCCATACTGTTCTATGATCGCGATTTGGAGATACATGGCAATTATGATTCTTGAGGTGGCTACCGTGTAAGTGTTCGGACCAACCTGGTGTTTATGTGTACTCTTTCAATCTGTGGGGCCACCCGTTCTGTCTGTTAGCATCCAGTTTGTGTTCTCAGTCCACTATTGCTGTCCACTAAATTGTATTTTGTGCTAATTTGTGCCGTACACAATGTGCATTCTTCGCGGTTTTTGTGCTTGTGAGTGTTTCTGAGCTACATCACAGGTATACAGATATAGTCATGTTTTAAAAAGGTAAAAATCGGAATTTCAATTTTGTGGGATAGCTTTAATCCAGCTTTGGTGCAAAAACATACACACAGAGAGACAGAGAACTTGTCTCCATTTCGTACATGTGCCTGTGCGTGCTCTGTAATCTTACTACAACACAGATTGGTTTGAACTATTCTAGGGACTTTTACCGGTTGTCGTGTCCTGGATTTCACTTATACACTGTGCGTGTACTATTTATCGCTTGTTGTAAATAAGTTTTTAGCACTGGGGTGCGTGAATTCTTTGTTTTTGAATGGATTGTCATTGGACTATTTTCCATACCTCAAGTTCTTACCAACAAAAGTAATCTTTCTTTTTGTTGTTCGATGTCCTCCATTTATCTTTGATGAGATAACGCAATCTTATGATCAGTCTTATAGGCCCGTTACTGTTATTCCTCTTCATCTAGCGTCTGAATGAGGCTGTGGCTAGTCGAGACATATTGTTGCGATCCGCTGCTGCTCAATTTCATCTTCCTTCTGGTAAGTCGCAAGCGAATCGGAACGCCTGGGCTGTAGTCATTTGTACAATTCATTTGGCTTGCAATATGCGCAAGCTTTTCTTCTGCTTCACTAAAAGCTATCTTTTGC